AATTTTATTAAAATTTAATTGTTTGTCTGCATAGATACTCATCGTGAAATAGAATTTTCTATTATGTCAATGATATATAATAAAGAAATAAATAGTCAACAGTTTTCAACGTTTTGTTTTATAATAGTTGATAAGAAACATTGTCTATGATACTTGAAAGTAAGTGCATTTTGATGAAGGAAGAAGAATGTATTTCAAATAATCTGAAATAATCGAGTCGTCATTTTGGTAATCATACAGATCTATTTAGAGTCATCTTTTTCATACATGACGAATAGAAAGAACTATTATATTTATATGAAAAAATAATTACAAACATGATAAATTATGGATTTATTCAGTTTTAAATTTATTTTTATGGAAAAGTTCTTCAATTTTATGTGTAATTTACACTGTAGAACAAATTTGAAAAAAATGTATTCAAGATTTTTTTTCAAAAACAATAGGTGATTTTAATATTCTATGTAAAATAAGGTTTTTTCATTAAAAAAAATACCAAACGAGAATGAAACAAAGTAAATAATTTAACAATGATTTATACTTATTGAAAAAATGTAAAAATAATATATATATACAAAGTCAGTTGATTGTTGAAAATGTATTTAAAAGGTTCTTGAAAAGATGTATAATGTAAATTTGAAAAAGTCAAAAATAAGACATTTTGAAGTTTTATTAAAATTCATTATATTTAAATTAATAAAATTCTCAAGAAATAGTGTAATAAATTCTAGGTTAGTAGGAGAAATTTGTAGAGTTTTATTCTATCTAAATTTTTGTTTTTTCTTTGAATTATAGTGAAATGTTAACCATCGAAAGATGAATGTAAAATTGTCCATTAAAGTTGAAGTTCTAATAAATTCTTTTCTTCTAAATTAACTTGACATATCTATCTACTGAATGAATATCTTTTATTTACATAGGAGTCATATGATTATAATAGAACAAAATACAAAATTATTATTGGTTTATAAGTTACATTATTTATTTTTATTCTATTTTAATCATGCATATCATCAATTGATATAATCATCATTCCCCATCAAATGTTTCTAATATAAATCTATTATTGTAAATGCGCAATACCTAAAGATTCGAACTATTCATCAATAAACGTGTTTGAGTTATTTACGCAGTTAACAAATATGTTCAGTGAATGAATGTTTATGGATCATTCAAAATAATTAAATACAAACGAAAAATTTGTCTACATCATGTTTTTTTGCTAAATTTTATTTGAAGAAGAAAAAACTTAAAATAAATTATTTAAATTATTCATAGATTTTTTATGAAAACGATGAACTAATTCAACATTTAAGAGAAATACTGAGTCATGATAGTCTTTTTTTTTATATTCAAAAGATCTTCGATATTATCATTATTAATATTAAAAGTACATTTCATCGTCACTCATACAAATTTTATCAAGTCGTGAGTCATTATTACACAGATAATTTCATTCTTTACAACTTTATTTTGGTATACAACATGTGACAGTTGCATGAATTAGTAATCATCATGTTTAAAGAAGTAAGTATATATTCTCATCATGAAGAAATTTTTTCCATTTTGATGTATTAAAAACACAAGGAAATTTGCTTGTTTCGTCTTATTGTTATCAATTTGAAAAAGGTGACTGAGAGATTACATGAAGAAAAAAATATTATCTCTCTTTTAGGTAAAAGTTAAGTTTTGATTTTTCTCTAGAATGTCATCATCTATCAAGAAAGAAAAGGTTTTATTGATACGAAATGAATATATACCTACAAACATCTTGTAAAGATCAATCTTCTTGTATCATTTTCTTTTAATTTTCGGACATTTTTATTAAATGCAGGAGTTCAGTGCTTTTTTTTCATCAACATTTTCGTTCTGATGAGATATAACTTTTCATGAAAACTTAGAAGCTCAGAAAGAAAAAGCATTTTATCATGAAATAAAGTGTTAGGAGAATAGTCACTCGAAGCTGACACATGCTGAAGTACCATCTGTGTAGAAGCTATAGTACTTTTTAATTATGTTATAGCTATATGACTAGAAATCATTCGAGACCTTCCCAGAGATGATATTTTAAATTGGTTCTTTTTTCTCATGTTCGATTTTGTTTTGAACATTTGAGATTCACATCTATCGAGTAAAATATATTCAGTTGTGAGATTCTTTTCTTTTAATATGATAAGAAATAAAATTCGCTATCTTTATATTTATTTTTACATATTTAGATAAAATACCTCAAACTCAACAGATTCCTTTTACTGTTAACCTTGAGATCGGTTATGTCGTAGCACTATATTTACTCAATGAAACGTTAAATTCAACCTTTCATTTTCTTTTATCGACGTGTGCTATATTTTATTCTTCTTTCGTACTCGATACAACAGGAAAAATGTTTATACTTGATGTGTTTCTTTTTTTTTTTTCTTTCTTTTTTTTATTATTAGTATAAAGAAATAAATATACTAATGATCATTTTGACATGCTTGGTGACGTCGGTAATATTGGATGAGCGCACAGACAAAATGTTTATTATCAGTTAAGCAGAACGATAACAACTACGCATATTACTGAATATTGTCATTTTGATTAGTATTTCTCTTCAATCACTTCTTTTTTTCTTCTCTTTTACATAAGCAAGAAAAAAAAGCAAATGACTTGATAGCTTTAAATAGCCATTGAAGCAAGACTCAAATGCATTCACGTGAAACGAATAAATTCGCTACAGGTGCAAGAAAAAAGGACATTTACGAAAAAAATGCACTACTCAATGGCATTTGCGTATAAGCACGTGTAATGTATGATAGTATTCAAAGAATTATTTTAAATAATTACTCAGTGAAAAAAAAATAGATTAGTTTATCATCATGGTAGGTGCTAAAAAAAATTAATTTTGTTTTTATTCGAAATACAGACATTCTAAAATGAATAGAAATTGCTTAATAGTGAAAAGCGTCTTTGTTTTAGAGAATGGTATATTATATATTGAGTGTCTAAAAAAAGTATAATTATTCACATCCGATTGTTTTAGTTGTCATCATCAATGAAAAAAACATGTAGGTGAGAGAGAGTAAAGCTTATTACAAGGTGAATATGATAACATTGAGATTAATATAGAAGCAAAAAAAAATCTTCATTAGATGAGTTGTAATCCGTATAAAGATAATTAGAGGTATTTATATTTCTTTTTCCGTTTTTCCTTTTTTGTCTTGATAGTAGTGCTCATATATTCAAGATTTTCTTCCGATGATGTTTTCAGACCTGTCATTTAAATTATGACAATGACTGCATGAATGAAATACGCCGCTTCCTCACGTACGCTTGTTCGTACTTCCATTATTTGATTGGCATGATTTTTGAAGACGTAAGAGAAGAAGAAAACAAAATGAAGAATTATGTGTGTATGTGTGTTTTTACTCTTGAATATACCTCTGTATGACATGCAAATGAACACGTATAAACATCGTGTGACAACAAAGATGAAATTACTTTTTTTTTGTGTTAGTTGTATGCTCGAGCATAAAAAAACCAGCATAGTTTCACAATTATTTATTATACTTATTGAATGAATATATAATCAGATCAAGCCATCATTGGAGAACAATCAAAATCAATTTTCTAACTTTTCTTTTGATAAAAACTTACCGTAAGTAAATAAAATAATTAAAATATCGTAAACGTGATAGTTGCTTATTTTTTCTTTGTTTATTTTTTTTTTTTTGAATGTAACACAAGTACAAAAAAGAAACTTCTCATATTGAAATATGATATATTAAATATTAATAGAAAAACATTTTTATAAACATGTTCATTTTGAAATAGTTCTTCTTTCAAAAAAGCAATGACTTGATACTTAGGTATTGCTTTCTTTTTTTCACTTCACATAAAGCAATCAGCATTTGCTTGTATTTATTAAATTTACTTGCTGACTTTTCTACTAATTTTGTCTGACAAGTTTTTTTTTTTTTTTGCTGTTCTTCTTTTCTTTTTTTTCTTTGTGTTCTCAAACGGCTCACATTATTACAAGAAAAATAAATATCTTTGTTCTTCACTCAATACATTTCATAGACATTATTTCACAGCTTTTAAATGAACTTTATTCAGGTACTTTTCTAATCATAAAAGATATTTTTCATTGGAAATTATTCAATATTCAAAGATCATCAATATATAATATTATTAAATATGGCTCTTAAAGTTAATCATGGTTATTATACAAATATACCATCAATTATTTCAACTAATCCAAATTATTTTTTATATCATAGAAGTGATTTATTAGTCAAAATATATATATATATATATACTACATATTAATCTTTATGTTCATTTATATTGATTATTTTTTGCAGATACCTCATTCATCTAAATCCTTGTCTATTGATATGTCCTCAAGAAAACAGTCTTGGACTAGTTTTATCAATGGCTCGTCTACACAAATTGTTAAAGATGAAACAATAGATTGGGATGTAAATGAAATTTCATCTCCACAAACAAATGATATTGATTATACAATTGTTGATTCAAAAATTGATCCATTTCATCTTAAAAATTATCAATCAGTTCGAACAACATCTATTGAAAAATCAACCATTGATAATAATAACCAAAAAAAGAAAACAGTGACTGTGAAACGTAAGTTATAAGCTCGTTTTTTCTTATATTTCAATTATTAAAATACCGACAAAAAGAAACGAAAGCCCTCTATTCATTCGAAACACTTTTGATTTTCTTCTGTAAATTTACAAAGAAAAAGAAAAAAAGAAGAAATTCTTTTTTGTTTGGTTTCGTATTTTTCTCACATTTTTTTCTTTTTATTTATATCTCGTGCGTATGTTTTGCCATTGCTCTTGTCTTCATCACCTACATCAAGACTATTATTTGCTCTCTAGGATGCCATAGGAAAAGAACACGATGACTTGCCATATGCATCCATACCCGCCCTTGTCTAACTACTCGTAAGCAAAACCAACGAAAATGTTGTTAGGCAGACTGATTCTCTTCTTTTTTTTCTCCTCCTCTTCTCTTTTTTTCCTTCATCGTTTCTGTCGTCGTCCTTCCTTCCATACTTTATAACAGCTATATGTTACTTGTGTTTGTACGCTCACACAACCCCCGTTTTTTTCTCTCGTCCTTCTGACATCCAATCATCGATGTAGCAGAATCGTCATTAACGGCGTCCACTTTTTCTTTTTTTCGTAGATTGTCTTGTTTTTTTTTTCTTTCTGTTATGTATATTGAATAGGTAAATATAAGACACAGTATGTTCAATACATTTTGCATCAATATAACAGCTATTGATTGCACTATACAGAAGAAAAATGTACGCACACATATGTGTTCATTCGTCCTATTTCGTCAGAGGTCATGCAGCCCGTGACCTGATAGAATGAAGAAAGAATAAGAACATTTATATTGTTGTTCGTTTAAGCAGCAAAAACAACAATATTTATTAGACATAAGTTTAGCATTAAACACATGTCCCGAGGAAAAAAATAAATAAAACAAAATCATTTTTTTTTCTTCTAAAAGTCCTTATGAACTTCGACATATCGTGCTTTTATTACATTCTATTGAATAGAAAATTTAATGTACGAAACGAGTAAAAAAAAAAAAATCAAGAACAAACTATCGATCTATGAAAGAATGTAAAAAATCCTCTTAATATTATAGATGACTCTGAATGCTTCGTATTTTGTTTTTTTTGCGTTCTTTTTTTCTTTTTTTACTTTCTTGATTTTTCTTTTTTCTTTGTGTTGTACTCTTTATAATCATCGTTCTACATCGTATGAATCTATATTGACCTTAGATCATATTGCCCTTGTACTTTTTTTTATCTCAAAACAAGAAAATAATGTTCAATAATTAGATATGTTGACTATGTCAGCTTCAGGAAATACACAAAAAGATTTTAATCGTGGGTCAACTTCATTACCTAATGCAACGTCATCAACAATAAAACAACAACCATTTAGTCCACCACCATATCATCCACTTTCAAATGGTTTTTTTACTCAACATCATCAACGATCAACACCCTCCCCTGATCATGAACAAACATCACAATTATCAAATAATCTAGTTGAAACCTCGTCAACATCTAATGTAGTTCCACCATCGACAGCGGGTGGAGGTTGGTAGAAAAATTATAACCAAAAAAAGAAAAAAAAAAAAAAATGAGATATTTTTTTCATTCTTGAAAAAAAATAAACGACTCCTACTGGGTTGTTTTTTTATGTGCGCTAAACGCTTGAATGATTAGGTGTTTGGTGAATAATGTACGACATTTTTCTATCCATGCTACATCAATAGACCCATACGCCATACTTGGTTTTATTCAATAGAAATGTTAACTTCTAAAGGTTGTTATGATTTTTTTCCCCTATGTCAAACTTTTTCCAATTACAATAACCTTCAGCTGGCTCTTTTGATATAGAAAAAAAATGCTTGTTTTTTTTTTAATGAAGCATTATTAGTCAATGCTATTATCCATAAGTTTTTTATAAAAGCAATATTTAATTAATGATATAGATTATTCTCTAGAGAATAAGTCTTTTGATTGCTACTATTACATACAAAGTTTATTTATTTATTTATTTATTTTTGTATCGTTTAGCTCCAATATCTTCGGAAGATAAACGTCGTTGTGTATGTTTAAACTAAAAAAAAAAGTTCATTTTCTATATAAATTTTATTTTATTTAGGCTGTTTGTAATGATATTGCTTCTGGCTATCATTATGGTGTATGGAGTTGTGAAGGTAAATATATTAATATCTTATGTATTTAAAACATGTTGAACAAAAGAAAAATAATAATAATTCTATTTTAGGATGTAAAGCGTTTTTTAAACGAAGTATTCAAGGCACAAATGAGTATATTTGTCCGGCAACAAATACATGTACAATAGATAAACATCGTCGAAAAAGTTGTCAAGCGTGCCGTTTAAGACGATGTTATGAAGTTGGTATGACTAAAGGTACAACACGACGAGAAAGAAAATATCGTAAAAAAGCTGTATCAGTTTGTAAAATTACATCAACATCATCAAATTCAAATACTACTAATAATTCAATTAGAAGTAATCAAGAACATGGACTTTTAGTAACAACTACTGAAACACCACCAACAACGGCTGGAACACCATCAGCATCTCAAATCAATAATAATAATAATAATTTTTCATCATCACAAGTACAAACAAATAAAGTATTGTTACACAGTCTTTCTTTTTTTCTTTATAAATATTTTCTTTGAATATTTAGGCGACTTCTGAATCATTACGTATTCCAATAGCTCCAGCTGATTTTATTGCTACACTTTCTCAAGCATCTCGTCTTAATTTACCATCAAAAGCTGATACTAGTCGTCCATTAGATGATCAATATTTTCTTCAATTACTTGCAAAAATTTTCGATCAAGAACTTGTCGTTCTTATTAATTGGGCTAAAGCTATGCCAGGTATTTTTCTTTTTGTTTTCTAAAATTTTTCTTTAAAACAATATTTTTTGTTTTTTTTTTAAATATCTTATTAGGTTATACTGAAAGTTTAACTCTTGATCAACAAGTTACAATCATTGAACAGAGTTGGTTAGATACTTTACTTCTCGATATAATCGAACGATCATTAGAACGAAATGATGATACACTTCATTTTGCACCTGATTTTATTATTTCACGGTACAAAAAAAATCATGACTGATTTTTATCATTTTTTTTTCTCTACATGTATATTTATATTTTCTTATCTTTCGTTGTATTTAGAAATCGTACATTATCAAGTCCAGGCGTAGGTGGAATATGTACAAGTTTATTTAATATTCTTCAAACGTTTAAAGAACCTCGTACAACACATGAAGAATTTATTGCACTTAAAGCTGCAATACTTATTAATTCAATACCAGCAACAATAACAACAACAAAATCATTTCGTTTATTAACAAATCAAATCTATCAATCAATACAATATGCATGTGATTCAAATCCAAGTGTTTATCAAGATAATTCTATTCGTCATTTTACGTTATTATTACAATTACCACATATTAAAATGTTAAGTTCTAAATTAATAAGACTATTTTTAGATATGCGTGCAAATGATTTATTACCCCAAGCTGATCTTTTATTAGAAATGCTTGATGCACAAGATGCATTTGATATAAATAATTGTTTTTTATCATTAAATCATGATGTTCATAATTTACCATCACAGATATCAAATTTTAACCAAAATTTAACATCAAATAATAATAATAATAATAATAATAATAATAATAATACAACACCAGTAAGGCAATCAACACCAATGAATAATTCTAAAGTTCAATCTGATTGTTCAAATCCAATTAATTATAATAAAAAACAAGAAGATGATAATGAAACAGCAAATTTAGATGATCCAAACGGTAAGTGAGAACAAAGATATAAAATTAAAAATTTTATTTATTTTTTATCTTAAATATAAGAACAAGCAGTTTTTTATAGAATAACCATTAGATCTTTAATCATAGTTTATGAGCGAGAACAATGATTGATAGAAGTTCAGCTATATATTATTCACTTTCTCTTTATATCTTATTATGTCGGATTGATTGCTAGTTTATAGTAACGGAGATATACTCTTACAACAAGAGTAATTTTATCATATTTCAGATTGAAATTATGTTGATAGGTTTTTTTTCTCTATTACGTTCTAATATTTATTTTGTATATATTATAGCTCTTTTCTTTAATTAAAATGCAAATAAGAAATCATTTATTCTAGGTCAAATGAACTACCGAATGACATCATCATCGCCAATGGTATTTGCGACGACAATGCCTGGAAAACGTTCACCATCAACTCCACCTTTACCATACTATAAACAACCTCGAACTGAAACGATTCCAAGACCACCATCGACTAATATGCATTTTCCCATGAACAACTCACCTTATTAAATAATGCTCAATCAAAATCTGTATTTCTCATATTACACGTGCCATAGATAGATTTATACATATATATATAAATATAAACAAAGAATTCTATTTTTCTCGTCAATTTACGAATGAAATCTTACAACAGTATTCATTTATTTGCTCATATAAAAAGAAAAAAAAATTTATCTCAATGCTCAATAATCATCATAGAACTCCAACTATTATTATTATTATTATTATAGTCGTTCGTTATGGAACGTATGAAAAAAAGAAGTTTTGCTCTTGTTTTTTTTTTGTCATGTGTTGTGTAATATTCTTTAAAAACAAACAAAACAACATGTTTTGATGTTTTATGTATTAAACCCGGTTTTTTAACACCATCTCGGTGTTTCTCTTTTTTTCTTCTTTTCTCCTGTTTGTATTCTTGTTTTCTATTTTTTTTTCTCTGTTTTGTGATTATGTTGAATGCACGTGATGTATGTTGAGTTGACAGATTAATTCGTTTGTATTAAAATGTGTATGACAGACTCAATTCATTGACTACCTTTTTCCAAATTCGATAAAAAAAGACAGCAAAAACAAACAAAGACAAAGAAACCAAATTGCTAAAAAAGAGTATTTAAAAAAAATATTATTTATGAGTTTTTGTATTATCACAATAGAGTATTTAATGAATGTCATTGATTGATGTATTGTATTCATAACGTTAATGCTTTTTTTCAAATAAGTTATTAAATAACATTAAGTACCCATCATTAATGTGCATCTGATATTTTTTAAGCTAGAAAGAGTACTCATACTACGTAGAAGAACTCATAGGATTATGGAAACAATGATCATTAATCAAAGAAAAAGAGGATAGATTCAGAATCATGAATTTTATGGTTAATAGGAGATCGAAAGAATTTCTACTTATTGACTTATTCAAGTTTTGAATGATGTTAATGAGAGTGGTAAAAACAAAACTAAATAATGCTATGTATAGCTATGATTACTTCTTGAAAATTCTATATTATAACGAATTTCAAAAATTAATTGAAGAAAATATTAAAATCTTGTTGATGCTAGATGATTACTGCACAAAAAGACAATAATCTGTAAATATAGTTTAACAAAAGATTCTTAAAAACTCATGAGAAAATTGAAAGCAGATGAATATCCTCAGTTGAAATTCTTTTTTTATACAAACATTTTCTTTCTCGAAGCTTTAGCTAAAACGAATGTTAGATACATATGTGTTACCATAATATGAAACCTTCCAAGAAAGATTATAATTATATATATATATGCATATACATACAACAAACCCCATGCCCTTGTTTATGACAGGCGATAATTAAGACAACTGATATTAGCAAAATGGTAAGTGTATATTTGTTCGACATATATTGGGTTGTTCTCATATCTTTCAATTGTAGCCAATTCTATATATTAGTTGTCGGTAATTTCTTTTCAGTCGTATACACGCTTACATCTTTAACAAGTTTAAAAAATCAATCAATAACTGTAATATTATTCTGTTAATACAGTTAGTTTTGTCTTTCGTGTTCTTATTGTTACATGACTACTGACATAGTGAAATGATGAAATTCTTTTTCTTATTTATTTATTTCGTTCCATTAACATTACAAAATGAAATTATTAGTCAATATAATAATAATTTTTCAGGTACTTTATTTTAATTTTTATACGAAAAACAAATGTCGTTCTTATTTTCTGTCTTATTCATTTATTTACTTGTTTTTTCTTTCATCAAGTCATTTTGAATTTAATTGATATTCCACAACTTATTGATCATGGTTGGACACCAGTGGTTCAGACATTTAATACAATACTTACCGAAAGTCTCATATCAACACTTGATATTGTTGATGCAAATATTACTAATTCAACCGATCTTGCTATTCGAACACCAGTCTCTTCGACTTATCAAAACGCAACTCTTATTCATATCAATATAAATTCACAATCTACAAAGATTTCAAGTAGAGAATATTTCGTTTTTTTTTAAATTCTTTTCAATATTATTTCTTTTCATAGGATCTAATTTATCCAATACATTTACTCTTCTAGCAACATATCGTTCTGTGAGAGATTCGTCGGGAACATTATTTTCTTTATTAGACAAAAATAGATCATCTCTATTTGAAATGAAAATTAATACAAATATTACTGTAACTTATCGTTATAAAGAAAAACTAGAACAACTTACTTTTTATCACAAAAGACTTGTAGCTAATGATGGATTGTAAGTTGAGTATCATCATTCTTATTCTTTTATTAAAAAACAAACAAACAAGTTTTATTTTAGATGGCATCAAATTGTTCTTCTATTCGGATTTGAATCAGTTACACTTCAATTTGATGATCAGTTAGATAATAAAATTAAATTACCATGGACTACTACTCGAATATCAGAAATATTTACTATAACAGATGTTGTTTTTCTGGGTGCAAATGATCATGAAAAATATCGAAATGATTCATTCTTTAAGGTAAAATAAAGAAACGATATAACCAATTGCAAAATCAATTTGATTAATTTTTCTGATCAAATATCTAAATTCGAAATGTAAAATATATTCTATTGAAGCTATAAGAGTCTATAAAAAAACATATGAGTATACTGTCTTTGTAAACGTATGATTATATTATTTTAGAAAAAATTTGTATAATAAGCATTTGTATGAATAGGTATTTTACTTAGATCATTTGAACTCTATTGCAGTGAGTTCAAGACAAACGTGATATTATATGGATTGGATTTGTTTTCAAAATAAATAATCGTTTAAAGTATCATAGAAGATTCAATGAGTAAAGTAAATATTATTTTATTGCTTAGAGTTACAACACGATGATTTACTCGGTTACAATTGCTTTTTCTTTTCTCTTTTTTTTTTTTATAAACTTTTCAAATGTTTAGTCATCGATTACTCTTTATAAGGTTTTTTTTCTATTTGATTTATTTTAAAAACAAGTCAAGGTGTTGCCAATACCTGGAGAATCTATAATACAAAGAAGCCAATATTAATTCACTTAATGATCCCTTTCTTGAATTCATGATTTTATTCTTGTAACTTAAAATACAAGATAAATAAAACTCCAGTAGTTGATTGCCATGTAAAATAAACGCGAAAGAAAAGGATGTTTGACTAAGTACTTCCGTCCGTCATTTCTTTGTGGAGTACTTATTGAGAAATGTATTTGAATGCTGTATATTAGGCACAATTTAAAATTGTTAAATATAACAAAAAAAAAGGTACGTTGATCAAATGATAACACTTATGTTTGTTCATTAAAATTCAATATTATTATGTTGATTAATAAATATACACGTTTGTTGATGTTCAAAACTATCTCATGAAATTGGACAACATTCTGATATGATAATAAAATATTCTTCATTCATTATTTGTAGGGTGATATTAAAGAAATTCTTGTCATTGAATGGGATCCATCTACCGATGAAAACAATATTGTACTTAAAACTATGAGAAGTTATCGTCAAAATCAAATACTTCATCAAACAGAACAACGTTTGATAAATCCCTCAGTAAATAATTTAATCACATATTTTTTTGTAATTATTAATCTGAATCTTCAATATTATTATGTACTTTATTCAAAAAGTTGTCAAGACAAACAGAACAATTTGAAATAGGACCAGCGGGTCTACCTGGAGGACCAGGACGACCTGGTCTTAATGGACCGATAGGTGCACCAGGAGCTCCAGGCCATATAATTGTTATTCCAGTATGTATTGAATATTTTATTTTTCTTTTATTCATTTAAATTTTATTAATAATATTAGTCACCCATTCATGATAAGCATGATCCAGAATCGTTTATTCATGCAATGCAAGGAATAATAAATAGTTATGCAGTAAGTATTGTATTTAGAAAAAAGAATGATCTACTCTATAATCAATTCTTTGAATAGCACATTCTAACAGGTCAACCAGGTTCTCCAGGACAACCAGGTCTACCTGGTATTATGGTAAATAGAAGTGTATTAGCATATAATTTAATGTGTTTTTCTTTGTGTTTCTTTCTAAGGGACAACAAGGTTTAAGAGGCTTTAAAGGAGATAGAGGCGAACGTAAGATATGCTACATCATGAATTTTCTACGGTCTTTTTGTAATGATCATTTGATTGTTTAGCTGGACCAGTAGGACCCCAAGGTGCAACTGGTCCAATTGGACCTCGTGGACCACCAGGACCACAGGTTTGCTTTCTGCTTTGTTTTCTGGAATAATATTCTCAGCAATTACTTGTTTAATAATGACATTTATAGGGTCCACGTGGCCAAACTGGAAGCCGTTAGTAAAAAAAAACAAAAGATTGGTAGAATTTATTCTAAAAAGTGTTAATTTAAATTTATTTCTAGGTGGTAATCAAGGTGTTCGTGGTCAAAAAGGTGCACAGGTATATAAATACATGTAACTGATTTTTTTTCTTATATCAATTTTTTTCTTTGAAGGGACCACGTGGTTTTCCGGGTATTCAAGGTGAAAAGGGTAATAAGGTAAGTTTTTCTATGAATACTACAGAATGTATAGGTTATTTTCATGTAAACAATTTATATTTAGGGTGAAATAGGTCCAGTTGGTGATCAGTAAGTCATGATAATTGATATCAATAGAAATAAATTATTATTTTATCGTAGGGGACAGACAGGTCCCGTAGGCATTAAGGTAAGTATTAATTGACATTATTTCATATATTTAATTGTATCATCAAGGGCAATAAAGGTGCAATTGGACCACAGGGACCTCAAGGTAAGAAACAATTTTATTCTTACTTTAATTTTGATGTTACGAGATGATCTGTAGGACTAACGGGTCCACAAGGCATGACTGGTCCAAAAGGAGATACTGGACCAATTGGTTTAACTGGTGAACAAGTCTGTATGAATAAATTTAAACAATTGAGCTGTATCATTTCTTTTAGGGAATACAAGGTCCTAAAGGTCCCAAAGGAGATAAAGGAGACAAAGGCGAAAAAGTACATTGATTATTGTTTTTTATTCATAGATTTCGAGTTTTATATTTTCTTTAGGGTGTTATTGGCTTGACTGGTCCAATTGGTCCAATTGGACTTACTGGTTGGTAATGAGTTTTATTCCGAGTATTTATTTGTTCAATGATATTTTTCATAGGTCCACGAGGTCTACCAGGAGAAGTTGGACCGAAAGGGTGCCAAGGTATTCAAGGACCACAAGTAATATTAATTCTTTCTACCTATTGTTTATTAATATGTAATGAATTTTTTTTTCTTTATATCTAAGGGACCTATTGGACCCCAAGGACCCCAAGGTATAGTTGGCCAGAAAGGTGAAGTTGGTGAAGTACGTATAGAATCCATTCGAGTAATATTTTTATTATAGTCTTTTATTTGTAGACAGGACCTAAGTGAGTATTAAACAATTGTTTTTCTATTAAATAGAATTATAATTGTATCTTAAAGAGGAAACCAAGGTATGATCGGTCCAACGGTAAATTATCAATTGATTGAACATTTTTTTTTCTTATTATTTTCATTGTATACACGTTATTCTAGGGACCAAAAGGTATTACTGGTGAACGTGGATTGACGGGTGAAAGGTTTGCGTGTATGCATAATCTTCAAAAATTCTAATGAATTGAACTTTTGCTTCCAGAGGTGAAAAAGGTCAGAAAGGTAAACAAGGATTAAAAGGTACAATCGGTTTAACTGGTGATAAAGGAGACAAAGGTGATGTTGGACCACAAGGGTATTTTGTTCAAATTTTTAATTGTTTAATATATCTTGCTTTTTAAATTCTATAGACCACAAGGCCCAAAAGGTGATGCTGGTCCAATAGGTTTGACTGGTATTCCAGGTTTAAAAGGAGAAAAGGTTGTTTCATTGTTTGTAATTCATTTTTCAATGATAATATGTTTCTTGACTTGATTTTCATAGGGAGAAGTTGGTCAAAAAGGTGATACTGGTATTCCAGGAATACAAGGAATACAGGTTTCCTTCTATTCTTTGTAATTGATGGGAAACATTGCTTTTGTTTTGATTGTTGTTTTTCAGGGTCTAACTGGTATGACTGGCCCTGTTGGATTAACAGGCCCAAAAGGTAACAAAGGTTATCAAGGTCAAAAAGGTGAGACAGGACTTCGTGGAGAGACTGGACAACAAGTATGTAAATAGTTGCAATAGCGTAATACTATGGCATATACTATTTATTTTTCATATGTATATATATATATATAGGGTGTTCAAGGAATTACAGGTCCAGAAGGTATTCAAGGTGAAACAGGTCCGATAGGACTTAAAGGCGATCAAGGTAGAATTTTCTTATTGTATAATAAATTTTAGAAACTTTTTTTAAATACTGCTTTAGGTGAAAAAGGAGACAAAGGAATTATCGGACCACAAGGTCTTGAGGTAAGCTTCACTTTAAGCAATTGTAATATTAACAATAGTTGCTTCGAAAAGGGAAAACAAGGTCCAATGGGATGGACCGGTGATAAAGGCGATCAAGGTATAATTGGTCCTGTTGGTGAAAAAGGTTTGTGTCATTGTATGGAATTAGACAGATAATTCTAATTGATAATAAATATTATTTAGGCGATCTAGGTGAAAAAGGCAATGCAGTACGTATTCAAAAGAGATTTAAAAAATATTCACTTTTGTTTTGATGATAGGGACTTCAAGGTGATCAAGGCATTTTTGGTCCAGTATCACCTTTATCTCCTATACATAATCAAAATTTTTTTTTCGTATAATAATACTACAAGAAAAAACGAAATGTTTCTTTTCTGTTTACCTTTTTCTCCTTGAGGTCCATCCAGTCCTATTGGACCCACTGGACCTTGAACACCCTATATACAAAAAAAAAAAGATATTCATTCGAGATAATTGTATTTCCAATATTGAACCTTTTCTCCAGGTATTCCTATGGGACCAAAAATGCCTTGATCACCTTGATGTCCCTATCATCAAAACAAAAGTGAATATTTTTTAAATCTCTTTTGAATACGTACTGCATTGCNCGAAATACTGAGACCTTCATTTATTCTGGGCCACCTGTTATATATATATATATCTTTGATCTTCAGGTTCTCGTAACTATTGAAAAGCTTGCTCAATATGAATAAATCGAGACTTGAACTTGATAAGATCACGCTCATTCATTTTCTTTTCTTCAAATAATGGGCTATACAATTTTGAAAAATAAAATATCATAAATGATAGTTTATTTTGCATTTTATTATAAATTTAATTAATTTGTTTTCTTCATTGGTACTTTCTTTTTAAATACTATTTATCTATAAGACCTTATGAGGAGTAAAATACATGTAACTGTTGATTGTTTATCGTCATATTCAATCTAGGATATTTATGATCATGACATATTTACGTGTTGATATGGAAGAGAAGAGTTTGCTTGATCACTGTACCGTTACGTGATGGACGTGACATTGACATATTTTGTATATATAAACATGTAAAAGAAATAGTTTTTGAGTTATGTGTAACATTGAGTCAATTGAGTTCATGTACTTCAATCGTGTATGATTCTATTCGAAAAATAAGTAGAAATAATATTAATGACTTTGACATGGTCAATTACATCAACAAAAATAATTGACATGCTTATTTTTTTAGGGTGAACGAGGACTTCAAGGACAAAGTAAATTATTTATTTGAATAAAAAAAAACATAATTTAATAATGCGTCGTTTTTCTTTATAATTTTAGAAGGAGAAGCAGGTCCAAGAGGACCAAAAGGAAATACAGGACCTGCAGGCCCACCAGGACCTAGTGGTACGTGACATTTGTAAGACAACATATATCTTGATTTTTATTGCTTATCATTAATTACAGGAGAAAGAGGTCCCAAGGGTGAACGAGGACCACGTGGAGACCCAGTAAGTCGTATTTAAAATAAACATTCATATAGTATATCGTTTATTTAAAAAAAAGGGAGATTCTGGTGACAGAGGACCACAAGTAAGCGAATTCAAATTCAAATTAATATGATAATTTTATCTATTGTTAAATATAATCATAGGGACCTTCAGGAACAAATGGTCAACCTGGAAAGTAAAGAATAAATCTTCTCTGTAATATTTTATTCTATTTGACATATCATATTTTTGTATTTAGTGCTGGACCACCCGGGCCACCGGTAAAGACTTTGAGCATCTATCAAATTTTTCTTTTTAATAACAAATATTAATTATTTATTTTTAAGGGGGTCGTTGGTGTAACAGGACCAAAAGGTAAATCATTCTTACTTTAAACTTAAACTAATTCTTTTTGTTTCTTACCTAGGAACGGAGGGTCCACGAGGAGCCAAAGGCGAAAAAGGCTCACTAGTATGTATAAACAAAAAAAAACATTGAATCTAATTGATATTGATCTAATGTTTTTTTTATTTTTCTAGGGTCCACCGGGTCCACCGGTATATTCTCATTAATAGTTAAATAAACATGATACGATTTCTTTGATATCTAGGGTCCACCTGGTGATAGTCTATTATCAAGTGAACTTGCTTCAGGTGATCATCATTCTGAAAAATTTCAGTGGCCTTTGCATAGATTACGTCGTTCAATAATACCAATTGAAGAAAATATTCAATTAAATTCTGTAGCATTGCACTTAATTCAAATATTGGACAATATGGCAAATCAATTGAATAAAATTGAATCGCCAATGGGTCTTCGACGTGATAATCCATTTCAATCATGTCTCGATCTTCATGATCAATCAATGATAGGTAAAATAAAATCTTATATCAACTTAGAATACATAGAATTTTTATTTATTGAGGAAAATATTGGATTGATCCAAATCATGGAAGTACATCGGATGCTATTGAAGTTAATTGTATTATTGAAAGTGGTAGAAGAAAAACTTGTTTACAACCAAATGACGATCATGAAAAACAAGTGAAAATCATTCTTTTTCTAACGAAGGAATCTTCTCAACTTGAAAATCGGTTTTGAGTTCGGATGGTGTTCATAAGGTAGACCTCGATGAGGTATTAAAAACTTGGAAAAGAATAAAGGCACCTAGACCGTTACTGTACGGTTATATCCATTTTACTGGAAGTTTTAGCCTATGGTACGACATGTAAAAAAAACAATCGGCTGACGATATTTCTAAAACTTTAGTGAAATAGTTATAGCCCTGCAGTGAAGACTTAGGAACTCTTATCCTTTCTCTGGTTTTTAAAAGTTCATCGAGTGGGTGTAGGCACAGTTCGAACTCAAAATCGATTTTCAAGTTGGGAAGATTCCTTCCAAAGACTTCTTAATCTCTAATAATTCTTTAGATTAATTATGGACCAATATCTCAAATACGTTTTCTACGAATTCTTTATAATCAAATCGAACAAAATTTAACTTATGAATGTAATAATGAACGTCAAACAAATATTACGCTTATATCTCTTGATGATATTCATTATAATATAAATCAATTATCAAATGTAATTATACATGATGAATGTCAGGTAAATTTGATTTTAAAATAAAATTTGTCTTAGATTTACTTGTTACAGAATCAACAGCAAGGATCGATCAAATATGTTATTAATACATCTGATGGGCATCTATTGCCTATT